AGGTATGTGAAATCACTTTAAAACACCAGATGTTAATGTTTTGAAAGAGGAAAACACAATAAATACAAGAACATCGTATACTCAGTTAACATAAATTGCATTTTTACGTACTAAAACTTTGACTTTTGTTCCTCTATTAAACGTGTCTCTACCCGATGGTTCAGCTGTAAGCTTGGAAACTTATAACGTTAACATTCGAGGCTCCATTCTTGGGGATTTTAAACAAAAACACTCGAATAAATTAAACGTCTATCATTTTCTCATCTACCTTTGATGAGGTAGTTGATGTTTTCATGTTGACTATTGTTCTTATCGTAAGGTTGTTATGAAGAGCTTTTCAAAAGTGACATGGATAGAATTACTTATTGATCCAAAAATGTAATGGATCAAAATGAAAATCTCAAAAAGGATATTAATATTTAGCTATTTAGTATATTGCTATGCACTATATTCTCTCCAATAACGTAACAGATCATTTGCTTTTCAATGTAGCGAGCGCATTACAGCAATCGTAATTCGTCGGTATCCTGAACTTATCTTCTTAGCTTTCCGTTTTATATAAATATGAAAAAAAAGTAATACTAGAGGTTAATTGAATATAGGGCAATTATAAGATTTTCCCGCCACTTTCACAATCTATTTCCAAAACCAGTTGGTTAGCATTGAGGATTAGAGGAGTTCAGATCATTTAGTAAATCGAACAACGTTTCTTTACAGCTTAATTTACTTTCGCCTTAATAAAATATAAGTTGATCATTGGGGTAAGTCATTTTTCGTAATAACTATTGCGTGTAAAAAAATATAAATCGATTAAATAGTACGACTACTACGCTGTATATAAACAAGCATAACTGAATAAAATTAAGAGCCATATATATTAGGTATTATAAATAAGAACCTCTACATGAAAGTGAAATTCCTAGGCAAAATAGGGATGTCAGAGTCATTGGGTATGAGCTTCAATCCTGACGTTTCTGACATCACTTTGTTTACAACTAGCTGTTGATATACTCATTATGGGATAAATGGGCGGACTTAGGAATTCGGATTGTTTTGTTACTATATTTGCTAGCCGAAGGGGCTTTTCGCTTAATATCAGGTCTCCTCAGGCCAAATAGGATACGGCAGACATAATAGTGGTTGAGACATTATTTATGTTACCGAATTGTTTGACAACAACTGTTACGGTGTGAACTGGACTATTTATTTATGCCGCAATAAATCAAAATTATGGTAATGGTTTTTAATACTATTTATTTTTTTATTTCAAAATCACATAAGTTATTATTTTATAGTTCATGTTAAATCGGCATTGTACTGTACAAAGTATTGGGCGAGCTTACAACCATTTCAATGACTATTATTAGAGCAGTAGTCAGGAAATTATGGAAAGGATTCTCGCTAATTTAATTATTTTCAATTATGTATATAAATAATTAACATTCTCGAATGCAAAACTTGATCCTTAAAGCCTTTATAAATAATTAAATTTCTGCTAAGTCTCCAAAATTCCTCGAAAGAAAATTAAACCAAATGAACGTGAGTGCCACAATCTCTCACTTCTTTTACAAGCTATAAAAAATCCACCTTCCGCATACAAGACAGCTTGTGAAGACTTTGTTCTAGTTTAATGGCCTTGATCTCTTATATTGTCTAAACTTGCTCTTAAAAAACCTCATCTTCTCTGTCAAGTATTAGTTTCACACCTGCGTTTATGGGATTCTATTCCACCACTGATGTTTAATCTTGAAGTTTTCAGGTAGACACTCTTTCTTACATCATTCTCCTGTTCTCTTTTTCATCAGTTGCCAAAATTAAATGGCTAAACTCCTTATATTCAGAATACAACTCCTAGTCAAACAACACTTAGAGTTACAGAAGGCTGGTGTATAGATGTTATTATCGTTGATTTTATATTAAAGAGATCCGTTCTCAATAATTTATATTTAGTTTTATAATTTACATACTCAAAAACAAATGCTTACCAGTTCTTTATTGTGCCGGTTACTAAAGAATTTCCTGAAATGTTTGCAAAGATCAATTACATTATTTTCTGTAAAATATTTATGCCGTAGAGATAACAAACATTAGCTCAAAAATTAAATTTTTTCTTGCTAAATCTCATGAGAACACGGCTTATTTCTTCTTCACATTCGTTGGCGTATGTCCGAATATTCGTCGATAAAACCATTCGTATTTTCTGAAACTATCATGTTTCAAAGCGAAACGGACTTTCTTGGTCTCGTGAGTGGCCAAAATGTTTTCAGTTTAGTGAATAAATTGAGTTGTGAGACAGTCAAATATTTCTTAAAGCGATTCTAAGATGTGCGAGTCCATTAGGGCTCTATGAAACCACAAGAAGAGCTTGTTATCTAGAGGTAGTTTCATGTTCCGGGGCTATGATAAACAATAATCCATTTGGAAAAGCTTAGTCTTTACCAAGCTACTGGTGTCAGATTAGCCACACGATAACTTTATTCGTATTCGAATATGGTTTATTCTGCAAAAAATTGCAGTTTTCACAGTTTTTCTCGTATAACTCGCTGTCTCTAACTTTATATCTAATTTTACTGATTTATAATTTCTCCTCAGCAATGTATATGATTGTTATGTGGCACCAGCCTCATCATTAGATTGTAATTCGTAATAGTGATGACCGAAAAATAAGTAGTGCTCTAAAAATGGCATCTTAAATATGTGAATGTTGTGTGTCTCATTGTAAAGTTTTTCAAACGGCAGTTCAATGGTAGGAAGCGATTTAATATGACAGAAATATCCCTTTCTTACAGAAACAGATTTTGATAAAAATTTACAATTTGCATGAAATCGCGGAAACCAGTTCTAGGATGAAATTATTAAAGAATTGAAAACTTCCGAAAGGGTTAAATACCTAGTAAAAACTATAGTAAGAATTGTTAAACGTAACTGGTCATTTTGCTACCGATTTAGATTTATGTTGTTTATTCTTCACATTTTGTCCGCCAGTGGGTCAACGGTAAGTTTGCGAACTTAAAGTACAGAAATCTGTGGTTCGATTCCCCACTATGAATAGATCGCAGATACTCCATTGTGCAGCTTTGTGATATTCCTCCCCCCCCAAAAAAAAAACTAACAAAAAAAGAACAGTTTCCATAATTATCTTATCCTGTTGTTTCACCATAAGTTTAAATATGTCTAGATTTTTCGTAAGACTCCTTCATTTACCTTTCCTTAACCGACACTCAATAGCATGTGATATTGTTCTTTTGGGAACACTGTGTGGTAGTTGTTAGCATGCCCGGACTATGTATCCAAAGATTTACGGTTCACGACCAATTGCCGTAAAAACACACTCATGTTTAAGGCCGTGTGTGCGTTATAAGAGTGACTATATATTCCCACTATTCGGTTAGGTAAGAGTAGCCCAAGAGTTAACGGTGGGTAATGTTGATTAGATGCCTTCCATCTAGAATATAATCTCAAAATTAGATATGGCTATGAGTAGGTACCACTTTGTGTAGACGGTGGGTGCCGGTGACTAGCTGGCTTTCCTCCAGTCTATCAGTTCAAAATTAGGGACAGCTATAATTTGTGTAGCTTTGCACAGAAATTCTAAAACAACAAACAAAGATTGTATTAGAATTTCAGTTTTGTAATCTGTTATTACACAAAAGTCCTTGTCGCTCACGCATTAAAATATTTGTTTTCTATTTTCTTTTATTGATCTCTTCGCATTTAATCTTATATTCAGCAGAATACAAAACTTTTTCGAAATTAAAAGATCCTTTTGAACACCTGTTCTATCATATACGTTTTACTAATATCGTTTTATATGTGTCTTTGATGTATTTGGATTCTTTCATACTGAATAATTAGCAAAGAATGGGTCTTTCATATATGTAGTAATATGGCTTGACTATACGTCTACACCCAGATGATTCCTTCCTTAACTTGTTTGTAAAACTATGTCATAAGTATTGCGCAAAAATTTGTTAAAACGAATTGAAATTGTTCCCTAATAAGGAAACCTGAGGCCGTAGGTCGCAGTTTTAATATAATTGAGTGTAAATAAAAAATGATAAACTCGATAACTCCCAACTCTATAGATTAGTAGCATATCTCGACTTTCCAGTGAATGGAATGAAAACAAGTTGTACTATTGGCGGTAGGTAATCCTAGCAACGAGAACTAAAGTTGTTTAATGGTACTGGCCATATTTACTAATAGTTAAAACAAAATTTGGTTTGTACGAAAATAATCCTATTACTGATACACCTACATTTTCGAAACTATATTGGAGGTTTGAGCTTGTTACCTCCGCCACAGAAGGTGACGGAGATTATGTTTTCACCCCTATGTTTGTGTGTGTGTGTTTGTCAGTAGAATTGAAGTTGTTTTACTTTTGGATCATGAACCAACTTAGAAGTGATTAGTTTTTGGAGGGTCAAAGTCACAGCAAGATCACGAAAATCCAAAAATTTCCTATGAGTTAACATGGAGACCGATTTTTCACACTATTTTTAGTCCCCCGATGGGACAGCGGTAAGTCTTCAGATTTACAATGCTACAATCAGGGGTTCGATTCCCCTCGGTGGACATAGCAGATAACCTGATGTGAGTTTACTATAAAAAGAAACACACTATTTGTGCTCTCAACACAGTCAAAAACGATCGGATTTTATTGAAACTTGGTGGACATATGTAGAATATCATTCCACGTTGTCCTGCCAAAACAACGGACATACGGTCACATAAATTTTTATATTTTTTAGGGTCGAATATTATCAGTGCTGCTTGGCGATGGTATTGAGTGTAATCTGTAAATGAAACTAATACAAGTTTCAACATATGCGTAGTTTAATGTGTTTTATATTAGTACAAGTGGTTTAAAAGCTACTTGCCTCAGTTTGAAGGAAATTATATATATATATATATCGATTTCAAACTAAGCCTTGATTTGCAAACCAAGTATCGTCATTCGTATTCATTTTCTAATTACATATAATTTGATTTGATTTCAGGATGTTTGGACACAGTGGAGCGTGCAGTGCCTGTGGTCAGGTTATCCCAGCCAATGAGTTTGTCATGAAAACGCAAGGAAACGTCTACCATTTGAAGTGTTTTGCCTGCGTAAAGTGCCACAATCAGTTAAACCCGGGTGACCGTTACAACTTGGTCAATGGTAACGTGCTTTGCGAACAAGACTGTCTCAAGATTTTGAAAGGTGGATCAACGGGTACAGGAGGAACTACACGAAAGGGAAAGGTGCGAGCTAATTCAGCCATAAAGGCCGTGTGAGTGACGTTAAGCCTAATTTCTCTGCCCAGCTACCTGCATGGCTCAATACTGTTCCATTTTTCTGGCTCAAAAACTACGTAATTACTATTTTAAAAAAGTGAAAATATAACAGTTTTCTCACCTAGTTGGACCTCCAAGACTACTAGAGTAGGACCCTACATACTCCGTTGTATTCAGATCACATGCACATTACTACACATAATCTCACAGGATTAATACTAATTGTATCTCCTCATTAATGTTGAATAATAAATAACTGAAAACTTGTTTTACAAAAACAAGCGCGTTATAGTATTTTTACAAAACTGTGTTATGCTACAGAATTTGTAATGTTCATTTAGAAAAACGTGGCGTTGTGTACATCACTTCAATCTTGTATTAAGCTCAAGTGTGACTATAGTAGAATAAGACTGTGTTATTACTATTGATGTGTTATATACAGAGTGTCCAGTGAAGTAAAGTGCAGGCTTATCAAGTTGGAAGATAATACGTCTACTGTACAAATTATAACTCAGTGCTAACATAAAAAACACTAATCATAAAAAAAGATTGAAGTCCAATTACTTTCAAAATAGTGTTTTAAAAATCAATAAGAACATTGCTCCTAGAATAATTGTTTTGCACAGAAAGTAATTTTTTCATAACGAGAAACTATATCAAGGCCAGTGATGCAGCTAGCAAAATACATTACATACAACAAGAACTGTGAACATTTTCCGTTTCAGAGTTGGAAACATTGAATATTTTACTTCTGTGCCATCAATTTTAAAATATCGGCTTCTTTATTCTATTGTTTCAGTTGAATTAACGTAACGATAAAATATGGACAAATGGTTCTTTGTGGCTTGGATGTTGAAAGTAAAATATTGGTGATTCAAAGTTAGCAGTTTGAATATGACAGCACTGTAGAATATAAATATTATTTATAATGATAAAGTACGGGGAAAATAATGTGCTTAGAAAGTGTCCCGTATAACAAAAATGTTTCGTAAATGTTTTAAGTTTTTAATAATTGGATTTAAAGTTGTTTGTTCCCCAATTCCAGTTTGGTGATAAGAACAACAGTTAAAGATTTATTTATACCCTATAGTTTGCAGTAATAAGCAAAAGTTACCATTAGTTATGCCTTTTATTTTATAAGCACGTAGATGATGGTCTGATGTTGGAGAGTAGCTCGTCGTTCTACTAAGTGGCGTCGTAAAGAATAAAAAAAAAAAAGAGAGAAAGAAAGAGAGAAAACTGAAAAATGGAATGCATATTTATAGTGTTATAAACTATATCACAATCGAACCAGCTAAGAGACAGGGATGAAAGGATAGTGATGTACAGGATTCACAGCTGGATAGCATGACCCACATGCATTGTTCTGTGCATTGGCGTTGTTCATGGCTAACCCGATGAAGAATCGCGGGTAACTGACGTTATGACAGCTTCAGTGTTTGCCTTTTAAGTCATCACAAGTTTACGGAACAGAGACCCCCCTAAAAACACAGCACTTTCAATAAGCCCCACAAAATAGAGTCATATCACGTTCGGGTGAGTAAGCTGGATATGGGAAACTTGATTTCATGAAGATGAAACGAATAATGATGCTGGACCATTGTTACGCCCTCTTCGACAGTAGTGTTCGTTGAATAATGATGCTGGACCATTGTTACGCCCTCTTCGACGGTAGTGTTCGTTTAGCTAATATTTTTCATTGTCTTTGTACTGTAGAATCTCACTACTCATCTATATATGAAACCAGGGGCTTTATTGTTATTTCAGTTCTCTCTTTTTGGGAGGGGGGCCTACGTATAAGAATGTATTGAAATAAATATTTTGAATAACTTCAAAAGTTCTGACGAATTATAGATATTATTAAACATATAGCGATTGAGTGTATAGTAACCTTCAAAGAATACTTTGTTAATAACGCTGTTAAAACATCAGCTAAAGGGGGAAACGCCTTTAATTTCTCCTGTTATTTCAAAACACCAAAGCCTAAAGAATTTTTTGTAATATTCTGAGTGTGGCTGCTGTTTTTGTCAGTTTTGACGACACTTTTGTAATAGACCTATACATTATACACATATAAAAAGTTGAAAAACTTGAATTTCATGTTGTGCATAATATTTACCAGTGATCGCTGTTTAGTTTCTTTATCGATAATCTGAATGTTATTTGCCATCTTTCCAATAATACGATGCAAAGCTCTTGTCTGTGTACTTCTCCCGTTACCATAGCTACAGAGCGCACATTCTTTGGTGTGCAACCCATATCTTAACTTTACATTCCAAAAAGAAATAAAACCTACAACTGTTTGTGCAGAGCTTTATCTGAGTTGTATTCAATCTATTTGTCTGCCTAGTTGTTAGGGTAACCGTCTTACCGGCCTGTCTGTCCATCTAGAATACTTATCACTGAATCTGCTTGACACACATTTTTTATTGTACTTCCGTTAGTTGGATGACGTATTATCTGTAGTTTTTGAAAGTAGAAGTAAATATTTGTTTTAATTTAAACTGAAAAAATAAAACAGAGAAAGGAAGTAAGAATTGAAGGCGTGGCAGCAAAGTAACTCGCAAGAAGCTACTACAATGACAAGAGATGTAGAATCTTATTAAGTAAACAGAGATATGCATACTAAGAAATAAACCATGATTATTGAGCACAAGCCTATAGAAGCAGCAAACACAAAATTTTAGGATTGTACAAGATAATAAGCATTAGAATGAATCTAGTCACAATGATAATGGAGACAGTAATGAATTTCTGGAAAATTTTATATCAGTATTCAGTATAGGTGCAAGCCAAATACACGAATAAGCACCTCCTTCCTGTAAGTTAGTTAGTGGCACAAACCTTTTCGAGGGTTGTCTGTGCTAACCATCCTTAATTGGGCTACTCTTTACCAACGAATAGTAGGATTGACCGTCACATTATAACGACCCCACGGCTGAAAGGGCGAGCATGTTCGGTGACAGGATTCGATATCGCGACCCACAAATTATTCCGGTACTTTCATTTGCCGTTAAAAGCGTTCCGTAGTATCGCGGCTGAAATTCACTTCTGTAGGCAACGAATATGAAGAGTAACCAACAGAATAAAATTATCCACGACAGTGGGGTATACAAGGACTATAAAGAGGACTATATAGAATGAAAGTAACTACGACAAGGAATATAAGGGATCCTAAAGAGCAACCAATTGAATTAAAGATTCAAAACAATTGATGTGCAAGGAATATTAAGAGTAACCAATAGAATAAAACGGTCAACTGAGGTAACAAGGTAGTTAGGGTTATTGATAAAGTACTTTACAAGCACTGATTAAGTGGTTAATTCTTCAATTTGGAGAGCAGAATGATCATCTGGCGTGCAAGAAGTACTGATTTCGATCCCGAGATATGTAAAAATCATTTCACCACTTTTGTACAATCAGTATGATGAGAGTATCCAGTAAAATAAACTATTAACGATAAAATAAAAAAAAAGATGAGAAGTATTATTAAAACTAACGAGCAGGATAGAACTAAGTACAAGATAATTATTAAAACGAACGGAATATAATTAATTGCAAGATAATTATTAAAATTAACCAGTAAAACCATGACTACACACAAAAAAAAACAATTAAAAGTTATGTATTAAATTTAACCACTAGAATATAGTAATATAAGGAATATTAAAGAGTAAAGGTACGCAATTTCAATAAATTCCACAAACGGTTAACTAATGAAAAACGGACTGATTTATACAAACTACTTTACCTGGTAATAACAATACGGACTGATTTACACAAACTACTTTACCTGATAATAACAACACGGACTGATTTACACAAACGTCTCTACCTGATAATAACAATACGGACTGATTTAGACAAACTTCTCTACCTGATAGTAACAATACGGTCTGATTTAAACAAACTTCTCTACCTGATAGTAACAATAAGGACTGATTTACACAAATTTCTCTACCTGATAATAACAATACGGACTGATTTAGACAAACTTCTCTACCTGATAATAACAATACGGACTGATTTACACAAACTTCTCTACCAGATAATAACAATACGGACTGATTTACACAAACTTCTCTACTTGATAATAGCAATACGGACTGATTTACACAAACTTCTCTACCTGATAATAACAATACGGACTGATTTACACAAACTTCTCTACCTGATAATAACAATACGGACTGATTTACACAAACTTCTCTACCTGATAATAACAATACGGACTGATTTACGCAAAAACAAAAGCATATCAGACAAAAACAACAGTGGTCGTAAAAGTTAAATTCACTGATCGTGACACATGAGCATTAAAACGAACAAACAACAGAATACACGTCACACGTGTGCGCAGAAGTCTGAGGCTAGCCTATCTGTCAAAACAACTTGAAGGGAACTTGTACAAGATGAGTTATCGTAATAGATCTGCTATTCGAAAACTTTACAAAAATACAAAAGTCAGAGATCAATGTGAAAATGTGGTTTGATGACATCAATCTTTTACACTTTATAACCCTAGTCCCTAAATGTCTTGTGGCATGGTGGAGACTCTGTGATGGTATAAGCAGCTTTTGGTGCAATAGTTTAGGGCCTATGATTTCACTTAAAGGTAAAGTGACAGAAAAGGATTATTTAAACTTTATTTCAAACCAGAGTTAGCTCATGATGAACGTTATTCCCAAACGCACCAATACATACTACTGAAATAGTTCAAAACTAATTCAAATAACGCGAGGCACCACTAGCACCAGATTTATACGTTATCGATCCTCGTAACCAAATTTCGCAGCAGTTTTCCATGACCAACATCAACAATTAGAAGGAGCTTAATAAAAAAAAAAATAACTGCCTGATTTTACAGCATCCCTTTTCAACAATTTCACCCAGTGTTGTTCATGGAGGCTAATAAATAAAATGTCGAATGTTCATTAACACGTTTTCATTATCTTGTCCAATTCCTTTAACTAACGGCCCCAACTTCATTCTGTAACTATTGGGAAGTCTCTTTCTAACCTATAATAAAGACTTCTTTATAATAATGACAGTTTTTACCCCGTTACCACTGCTACAACGTCTTTAACCTAACCTACAATAATGACGTAATTTTTTAATCCTTTAAGAATGGCACAAACTATTTAACCCGAAAGGTAATGATATAAATTCCTTTAACCTTTGACAAACTAGCAAAATAAAATAAAAATCATATTGCTTCTATTCACTTTAATGTAGCGCCATCTAGGTGCTGCAATCAAAAGTGTGAAACGCGATACAACAACTTTTGTATGTTTCATTGTTTAAGAATTTCGCGAGAAGCTACAGAAAGGCTATATGCTCATAGCCTTCCACAGTTTTGAATTGAAATATCAGAGATAGAGAGAGAGAACAGCTGGTTAACCACACACACACCATCACCTCTTGAGCTACTCTTGTCTGACCGAATAGTGGATTTGAACGCAACTCTTATAGCGAGCGCACCACATCCCTAATGTGTGTAGCACGAACCATGATGCCAAATTATTTTAGGTCAATGTTCTTTAAGCTGATTTGTAAATTATGCATTATCTGTTAGCAGGTGGTGTGCTATACTAACTTGGGTTAGAAAAAGCACAGAAAAATATCTAAGTTTAAAAAAATACATTCCTTCCCCCCAGGCTAAGTGCGGAATTATTGTTTTTTCAAAAATTAAATGTTTTCATGAATACTGATAAAGTATGTATTACATTCTTATTACAACAACAACAGGATATTCTGGAAAATAATATCACACGTTACTAAATGTTACAAGTTTATCTTTCTTAGTCATCACCGACTAAAATTAAAAGTTTGTCAAGAGTTTGTTAAGACGTTGAAACTATTCGAGCCCGACGTGGCCAGGTGGTTAGGGCGCTCAACTCGTAATATGAGGGTCGCGGGTTCGAATCCCCGTCACATCAAACATGCTCGCCCGTTCATCCTTGGGGTGTTATAATGTGACGGTCATTCCCATTATTCGTTGGTAAAAGAGTAGCCCAAGTGTTGGCGGTGGGTTGCCTTCCCTCTAGTCTCACACTGCAAAATTAGGGACGGCTAGCGCAGATAGCCCTCGTGTAGCTTTGCGCTAAATTCAAAAAACAAACGAAACAAATCAAACTGTTCAAAAAACCTAGTTATGATAAGGCTGGGCGTAACCTTGGGGGGCAGTGTGCCGGGCTGCGAATCTGAAAGCCCAAGGCTCGAACCGTTATATGTCATTTAACGCTCTCCACACTTTCTTTCGTGGAGGCGTTATTGTTAAGAGTATCCGTATATGCGATGGGTGCTCTCCTTCTTGTCAGCAAGTTAAGGATGGATATGCTTGAACTTTGTGGTCTATGACGTGGCATTTGCGTTTATGTGTTGCCTATACCGTTCAGGAATTAAAATACCAGATAGTTGTAATAATTGTAGCTTCCTTCACAGAAAGCTATACGGTGCGTGGTTTCACTTTTAGTCTACAAAAACGTTTTTATATTTCCTCATTATAGATACACCCAACTAATATGTCGCTTTCAAACTATCTTGAGAACTTGTTAAATATGATGAGATGTTAGCCTATTACACGTATTCTACACAAAGTATGTTAAAATAGTAGGTGTCAAACTACTGGTATTTCTATGTTTGAAAATAAGGTAAAACTGTTTATCTATATATTCGCCTTTTTACGCGAATAATCAACCATATCCCGAACAATCTTACAAGCTACATATTTCATTATCTATAGAAGATTATTTATTGAATGCAGGTGATTAGCTGTGGCGACCAGTATCGTTTTTGGTTTGTTTTTTTCGTCTCAGACCTTATATATTTGGTGAAAGAAATGATAAAAACTATAGGGCCTAACTGACAAAAACAACATTATTTTAATGTGACATAATCGTCAAATTAAAATCTCCACAGAGCGCGTGCAGTTGACTGAAACGTCCAATCCAATTTGTGTTGCACAGGTGGATATAATAAATATATGGCAAAGCCAGAATTTCACATATGTCAAAAATATCTTTTTTTTTCCATCTTGAAAGATTTCGAGGAAAGACATGGGGGGGGGGAATCTGTGAGACATTTCATACTCTAACATTGTACACAACAGAACACAACTGGGGAAAAGGATTACACTTGGAACCCTACACGCCGCTTGACGTAACTCCAGTAACTAAGTGTGGCTTATGTAGAACTGATTTCGTAGACATTTAAAATTGTTGTATTTTTGTTATTTAATCTCATACTCCATACTTTAAGAAATTGTGTTCTTTTTGTTCTTGTTGCCATGAGTGCGAGTTAAATGATTTCTGTAAT